CCCCCCCCCTGCCTCCAGCCCTCCGCTTCTCTTGAACTAATAGTTCTTCGGCATTTTCACAAATAATTTTTTACGGGCACTATTAAAGCTGCACTTAGACAATCGACCTCATGTCCGGATGTTAGTGGTTTTATCCCTAGCTACACGCTTGTCGTTACTACTACGCAAGTAGGCCATCATTTTCGGAGACTGCCACATGGAATTGCTAAACAATTTCAACTGACGAACTAACTATGTCCTCGTCGGCCTTAGCAAAGGACAAATTTGTTAAAAATAATAGGCGAAAATGCAAAAAATTCAGTTAAAACGGGGAGAGAGCGGTGCGAAACTGGTCTAATTGGCGTTAAAATAAGCTAAGATATCCTAAATAATATAAATAGGCAAACAAATAGTCAAAAATATCGATTTGTCTGCGGGGTATAATGCACGGGGCAGTAGCACTGTTTTCACGCAAATAGGTTGAAAGTTCGATTTTGGTGGTGGAACAATCAATCCCCTTCGATTTGTTCATTCATTTTTTTGGTAAACTGGCACCAGTATATGCAAGGAAATCAAAAATGCCATCATCAGCTTGCTTTTAAGCAACCCTCAAAAGAGAGAGCCATCAGAAGGAGTTCTGTCAGCGATGGATGGTTGCTGTTGGCATTTGCTACCACTTGGGCTACTTTTTGAGTGCTTTCGTCTCTCACATAGAGATCATATACGGAAAAGATTTCCGTTTTAAAGCACCAATATAAAAAAAAAATGCAGCGCAAGATAGAAAGAGATGCTATCCTGTGCAAATGTACAGCTGGTTTTGTCGTATTAAGCTAAGCCTGCCACAGTTGTTGCTATTTTGATTCGAGTTGTTGCGATAGCCTTGAGTTATCGAGCCAATTCTGTATTTCTGCCTTTACCATAGCCCTAGCATTTTCTGGGAGGGCAAGCATATCGGCCGTAACACTCAGCGCAAATGCTTTATCACCATCAATTGCACTCATATCCTGTTGTTCCAGCGACAAATTATTCCCAGCAACCAATGCCGTTCTTTGTTCATTTTGAGCACTATATACACCTCCTGAAAATGACTATTTTTGTACTATTACTATAGAGGTTTATAATAACGATTTTATTTATGTTTACTTTCAGATTCATGAGGGTTTTTGTATACGTCTTAATGGACCGAAACATTCCAGCTTATCAATTTTTATGTGTTTTTTGCACATATACAATGCAGAAACGCATACTGTCTAGGGGATGCCTGTGTGTGTTCGTCTATACCGATTTTTCATCTCGAGACTTACAAAAGCTACAGGACTGAAACTCTGGGAAATTAATCCACATGCAAGTACGGGCCTCATCCTCAAAATGGGCGCTCCAACTCACGTAGTTTCCACGTGCAGGCTCATCAAAGTTTATGGCGCATAAGCTGCTAACTCAGAAACTAGAAAAGCTAGAAAGCTGAAATTATAAGGAGATGTCCCCGTTTACGTTGGCTTTAATGA